CATGTTCAGTGATAGAGAAGCCTTGCAAGTGCTCTGGGACAGAATGTTCTTTTGCAATGAAAAGAGTTTTGCAAGAGGGACACAGTGCTGTCATAGCAAGTTTGCCAGGCAGTTGTTAGAGCTAGTCTGTTGTTCAGCCATCACAAATTAAGGCTTCTTCCTCTGTTTATTTAATGTTATCCATTGCAATACTTTTCTTCCACTCTCTAGTTTAATCCAGCCATTCCTCCCTATTCCATAACATGTTGTGGATCACTGTGACCACTCTTTTGAAAGCAATTTAAATTATTTCATGGATTTTCTGTGTATCAAATTGCCAGGTTGGTACAAGGAGACTGGAGAGTTGCCAGATCACATGGCGAGATAAGACTAAGATACTGCCTTGACTGTCACACCATCCTGAATGGACCTGATCCTCTCTGATTTTGAAAGCTATTCAGTGTTTGGCCTAGTTAGTATTTAGATGGAGGAATACTAGTGAATACCCAGGATCTTCAGGGAGGACTAGAAAAAAATCATGCCAGAGGTCCTGGACAGCCACAGCTCCCAAACAGGGTTAGTAATAGGACACTGGCTAGATATTTTACTAGATGTACGTTAGTGTTAATGGTTAGTAAAGTTGTGATTTGTTGAATTTTGGTTTATTGTCGTGCCCCATTCTATTCCTATGAACATTTTGGTTTATTGTTAGCTAGCTAGAGGCAGCTCTTTGTTGTTGGGTTCTGAAATATGGCTTGGATAGCTTGCCATGTTGATTCCCTGAATTTCAAAAAATTCTTTTCATACCAGTGCTTCTACGTTTTGACAGTTCTCATCTGGAGAGGAAAGTATTATGATTTTTCAAGGATGAAGTAGCAAGTAGATATTTGCCACTGCCACTCCATTAAAAAGCCAACTGTATTACATGTTTCAGGTAGCAGTAAATGGAGTTGACTCAATAAATTATATATTCTACCTACCTAATATTCGTCTGCTGATTTTTTTAAAGGATGGACTGACTCCACTCCACTGTGCTGCACGAAGTGGACATGATCAGGTTGTAGAGCTGCTCCTCGAACGAGGTGCTCCATTGCTTGCCAGGACCAAGGTATGTAGTTCAAAGTAGATGAAATCATTAATTGCAGGGTTGTACATTAGATTAATCCAAAATTCAAAAATGTATAGACTCAGTTGATTAAGTGCTTTCTAAAACTAAGGTCTGTAAGAGGAACTTGAACCTGGGGAATTGCTAAAACTTCAAGTCTCCAAGGAGATCTTTTATCCTATGTTTACAGACGTGGCTAGGGAATAGAGTGATAGATGCACAGCTTTCTTAATGAGTTTTGTGATTTATTTGGGGATTCAAACATACAAAGACACTTTAACATACACTCAAGCACACAAGAACTCAGGAATAAAGTAGTTAGCTTGGATAGGAAACAGAAGGCTGTCTAATGGTGATAATTACCTGACTGAGGTTGCTCCACCAACGAATGAAGATGGATAGACTGAACCATGTATGAAAGGAATAGGAAAATGGGAAGAGCCAGGACCCAAGTCAGAGTTCACAGTGGTGCAGTGGCATCATGTGCTTGAGATTTGGGGAGGTCTTTTATACCCTTTAACCTAGTCTAAGGCGAAGATTTGCTATTGTATATCAAAGGATTCTGGATTGATACTCTTTGAAGTAGACGATTTCCAAAGAGGGGAGATGTTATTTTATCCTCAGCCAGACACATCCTGGTTCATAAATCTCCTAGGTGTAAATGTCCTGTTTTGTAGCTCCTAACCCTGATCTTTTGATTTGTTAATTTGTTGTAGAGGGAGACATGGCCACTCAGGTATCTTATATAATGTTCTCGCTTAGGATCCATGGCAGTTTGGGCCGTTCCGGTTTAGAACCATGACAGGAGACCCACAAAAGGGAATTTTAAATTAAAGCAATGCTTATAACAGGTCCTGCACAGACAGGCAAGAAAAAGTGGCTCAATCCTGGGTTTTCCGAAAGTGGGTCAAAACCCCGCTGTTTGCATGACCCACTCCCAAGGCCAGCTGCACATCTACAAGCTGTCTGCACTGCACGACATCAAGTTACACTGCACAGTTATTATTATTTTTTTGTCACCTCTTCACCATGCATGCACACTGTTGCACAGACACAACGCCTGTGACCAAATTACTTACCTCTACCCACCCAGATGCCATTCCAATGGATGCCCACCTGTATGATCAGTCACACAGTCACACATGCGGTGCACCACCTGTACAATACACCTGTGCATCAGTGAGCTGAGTGATACATTGACAAAGCACAATCATGGAGCCCCACCTTCCCCCATACATGCCTCCTTCACTCCCCTTTACCCCATGCCCACTGTTGGGCTGTCTGATTTGTGTATGTCATAATTACATGCATGGCATCATTGGTGATTGCATTTTTGCTTTGCCCCAATCCCATACTGGTGGTGGGCTGTTTATATGCCTGTACCATAATGCACATTTTCTGTCTTGAGTTAGAGTATCCCAGCTTCTTTTTGCTCTGGTTTTTAGCCCCAGAGTGTGGCTTCATTTCACTTTCTACCCAGTTTTGCCTCATGCATCATCTAAACACCCCACCTTCAAAGTGTTTAGAAGCCACTTTATTTGGCCAGTATGGATTACTCCTAAGAGAATTGAATTAGGATCTCTCTTGAAGCTTTATTTGGATTTTGTCTTTGGAAAAGCAGTCAGTCCAGATTGCACTCAGGTTGAGTTGGGGAAAGGTAGGGCTGAATAACAGGCCCAAATTCCAATGCTAGGCCATGTTTTTTGATGGATTATCCAATCAAATTGCTTTGGTGGGAGAATTATGATTTGGTTATTTCTTCCCTCATGATTTATTCCACCATGATTCATGTTGTTATTGTTGTTGTTGTTGTGTGCCTTCAAGTTGGCTCTTGACTTTTAGTGACTCTATCCTTGCATTTTCTTTGCAAGATTTATTCAGAGAAGTTTTGCCTTTGCTTTCCTCTGAGGGAGGCTTCACTATTAAAAAGCCTTAAATTGATTTCCAAGCATGATAATTCTAGCACCTGCTAGAAATTAGGCAAGTGCTTGTAAAGGGGATAATTCTATTACATAAGCCATTTTCATACAATTTTTTAAAACCCACATAGGTTTAGGGAAGGGCAAGCAAAACACCTTTCTGCTCCACAACACGTTTAGTGTTCCCTTTTACTGTACCTGTTCTTCTGAAAAGTTTATTGATTTGTTACATGCTGTTTGCCATTTGCATAACAATGGTGCACAAAGTTGTTAGGGATATGAACTTCACCCTTTTTGGATACCTTCAAATGGAATGCTGCTGTTGCACAATGTCCGTCCCCCCCCCCACCTTCTTTGAAATTAGGTAACTTTGATGCCCTCAGAAAAGGCAACTCTGTCTGCAGATGTCCTCCAATTCTGCCAAGATATAGAGTTATTGGCAATTCTATTTTTAAAAAAAGCTATATATCACAAAAGAAACCCACATCTAGGTGTCTGCCATTTGGCACAGCATAATCTGTAATCTGTTCTTAAAGGTGTACTGCGCATGCCAGTTTCATCCAGTTCCAATAAAAAAGGCAAATGTTGCAGGCATTCTGAAACCTTCAGATTTTTGAATCTTAGCTGTGAGACTCAAGTCAAATTGAACTGGCTCCAAATTGGTTAGAGCTGAAGTTGGCTGTGTTCTAAAGTGCCAAATTGGGTTCCTAATTTAAACTGAAAATCCACACACTAATTAATTTCAAGCTAGTACTTTAACACATACATACACAGAGAGAGAGAGAGCAGTAAATCAGATCAGCCAGGAAACATAGTTTGCTATGCAGAGTCAAAGATTTTGTGTTTCTTTTCTCAAAATCCTGTTCAGTGAAGGAACCTGATCTCATGCTGTTTAGATTTCTGGAAATAGAATAGTAACACAATATTGTGGCAACTTGCATTAAATTCAAAGGAAGGTTGAGTGAGCATCTCTTTGTTGTCCTCCAAATGTCATGTGGCTTTGCATATGTTGAAACTGAAAGCATGTAAACCTGAAGATGGGGCAAATATGGGACTTGTTCTGAGTTGTGGCTGTTGTATTAACACGATATTATGTAAATTTGCATTGAATCCAAAGAAAGGTTGAGTGAGTATCTCTTCATTATCCTACAAATGTCATGAAGCTTTGCATATGTTGAAACTGAAAGCATGTAAGGCCTCAATATGGGGCAGATATGAGATTCATTCTGTGTAGTGGCTGTTCCAGTAGAGTTTGGAAATAATTTTATAATTCCACTTTATATAGTAAATATATGTACATAAAGGTGCATTTTCATGTGAATGAATTTAACATAGTAGTATACCTTTTTTCCTTGTTCCTTGCCCAGAATGGACTTTCTCCTCTGCACATGGCTGCCCAAGGTGACCACGTAGAGTGTGTCAAACACCTACTTCAGCACAAAGCTCCTGTGGATGATGTCACATTGGATTACTTGACTGCCCTCCATGTGGCTGCACACTGTGGCCACTATCGTGTCACCAAACTTCTGCTGGACAAGAGAGCAAATCCAAATGCTCGTGCTTTGGTAAACTTTTCCTGTATCTTTTCTGAAATATGGTCTTTGTGTGTTCTCCTCCACACATTTAGGAGAATTTGTGGAAAATAAGAAATGCTTTCTGGTCCTGTAATTTGTGCAGATGCACAGACTATAGGCCTGCACCATTCTTCACACAGTTGGCTAAGCACCTGGACATCAAGGCAGAACCAAAGAGAAGACTGATATAGGGACCTTGTTAGTAAAGTAAGCAGGAATGCAGTCCTGCTCCATGTATTCAGTGTATGCATGGAAAGGAAGCCTCTCCAGAGAAATTTGTTGTTGTTGTACACTTTCAAGTTGCTTCCAACTTATGGTGACCTTAAGGTGACCATAGCATGGGTTTTTTCTTGGCAAGATTTCATTACCTTTCCCTGAAGTTGAGAGCAAGTGACTTGCCCAAGGCTATCCAGTGAGTTTCATAGCCAAGCAGGGAATTGAACCCTGGCCTCCAGAGTTGCAGTCCAACACTCAAACCACTATGCTATGTTGGCTTTCCATGCATGGAGAGGGAGCATTTCCAGAGAACTACAGTTTGTATATCTCTAGATATATCTTGAGTCTTTGGGAATGCTACACAGTGTACACACTGCTTCCTATACAGAATCCAATGTATATCACTTTGTTACAGTGAGTGAAACAGAAGACCTTGAAGATGTGGAAACTCCATATGTACATCTAGCACTCCCATAGCCTCAAGGTATATTTAGAGATATACAAACTGTAGTGCTCTAGACATGCTGCCTCTCCATGCATAGAGAGCCAGCATGGTTCAGTGGTTTGAATGTTGGACTGCGACCAGGGTTCAATTCCCTTCTTGGCTGTGAAACCCACTGGATGGCCTTGAGCAAGTGACATGCTCTCAGGCTCAGGGCAAGGTCATGGACTCTATGCACAACACAAATTACAATCTAATTTCATTTTTCCCATCCTGTTGGCCTCTAGATGTTTTGGAATTAGTTCCCAAGATTCTTTTCTATTAACCATATTGTCTGGGGCTGATGGCAGATGAACTGCAAAACATCTGGAAGGCACTGTCTTGGTGAAGGGTGATTTGATGGGGTCTCTAGAAATATTTGATTCTAGACATTATGATGCTTGGCATTGCTCATTAATTGTAAATCAGTATATATGTTCATATAATCTAAGATGACATTTGATTATAGCTTCATTTTCTGTTGAAAAATCAGTAGCAACAAAACCAGGAAACTTGTTAGTTAGTCCAAGGATCTTTAACTTTTTTTTTTTTTTTTGGTGTGTCCAAATAACAGCAAGGCTCCCCAGTTTTACATGGTAGGCTGCTATTTCTGGCTAACTTCATTTTATAAATAGTAGTGTAGCATAAGGAGTGTGATTGGTTTAAAATAAATTGCATTGAGTTAGCATAAACCTCTTGTTCTAGCAGCTCTTTGGATTCTGTCTTATGCAGTGCATTAGCCACACTGACAATTGCCAAACAGAATCCATAGTCGTGACATCATGAAGATATTTTATATGTGAATTGAAAGCGTGTATACATTTGAATGGCATTTAAACCTGCCTGTGTTTCAAATTCAGGTTTCCATGGTGTAGGTGTAGTTGGCGTTGATTGGCTGATGACTCAGGGAATACATTAAACTTGCCTTACTGTAGAATGAATGATGCTTCTATACTATGTAATAGAGAAAGTGTTATTGCCACTGGCCATTGTCACAGTATTATTTTCATTATTTATTTTAAGTCAGTTTATTCACATGTTAAAATCAAGACTAAATATTTAGTAATTGACTAAAATGCTCACTAAGAGCATTTTTTGGAAACTACATTAAAAGGAAGATTTTCAGCGTTTGAATATTATGTGAATATTTCTCAACCTTAGGTCTCAGGGTGTTGTACATCCATTCACAAAAATAAACCCCCAGCAATATGACCACTGTTCAGGGATTCTCAGTGTCATAATCTCACAACATTTGCAGACCCAGGACAGGGAAACACTTAACTGAAACTTCTAATATTGCTTCCCTTCAGTTGTCCTGTCTGTTAATTTTAAAAAGTTGTTGTTGTTTTACTTTTAATTCAGAAGTATACTTTATCTAACAGTTAAGTTGCTTCACTATTAATGTTAAGAATATGTGATTTTTTTTAAAAAAACTGCAATTCTCACTTAATTTTTAATTGGGCTTAATGTACTACTGATAAGTCTTTTGAAGTGCATAGGACTTCTAGTGGGAGTAAGTAATACAAGTAACCACAAGCACTAAAGAAAATCTGGCTCTATATGGCTGCTACATGCATATTTAATAGTTGAAGGGTCTGTTTTCAATACTGTTTGGGATTTGGTTTTTTTGTTGTTTTCGCTTTATGTTTCTAAAAATCTTTTGTTTAATTGCCTTCCACCACTTTACTTTTTGACACGTTGATCATGTGTTCTGACTGTTGTGTGTTGGAACATTTATGTTTTGGCATCCGATTTCATATAGTGCTTTTGGGATGCTGAATGCTGTCTTGCATATGTCAGCAAGGCCACAGAGTAAAGTTCCTGGATATTAGCATGGAAAGCACCTTCCCCAAGGCTTACCACAGTTCCAGATGTTTACTTGAGAAGGCTGCACAATTTTAGATCTTATAGGTAATAGTTGTATCATCTCATATTAAAAAAGAATGGCTTTAAGGACCCTTCTGTCTGGTTTACCGTGGAAACTAGTTATTTCAGTTTTTTAACACACAATGTAATTTTTCATTTTAACTCTAATCACACCTTGTTATGAGAATTGCCAGAGAACACATGTAAAAGAGTGCTAGATTCTAGAATTTAGTGATTGCAGGACATTGCCATAACCAAAGTTGTTGCCAAACATAAGCCCTTTCAAATAGATGGGTGTTCTAGGCCATATATTCTTCCTCCCTTTTAGTCAATGCAGGGGGAGCCAAATAACGTCAGTACCTAATTCCTCTTAGTTATATTAGAATTGGAGCTATGATGGTCCGGGGGGTGGGGGGAAGGAAAAATGAGAACACTGGGGAAAAGTTTCTCAAGATTTTTTTTTTCTAGGAGAGGAAATGAATACTCACACATACACACACTGTATACAGTATCTTGTATACAGCATCATGAAAGTATACACACCGAAGCGATGGATCTTTCAAGCTGCATTGCTATACTTATGTGGGAGTACATTCAGTCAGAATTAATGGGGCTTTCAATAAAGGCTGCATTTACATTGCAGAATTAACGCAGTTTGGCACCACTTTAACTGCCATGGCTTAATGATATGAAATTCTGAGATTTGTGATTTTATGAAATATTCAGCCTTCTCTATAGGAGGCTAAGTTCTCACAGGCCAAAATACTCCAGCAATCTGGAATATTCTGGCCCCTGACCTGCCCCAACATTCCCCTGTTTCCCGGGACCCTCACGTTTTGCTTTGGATCTTCCAGGATGGTCCAGAGTCTTCTGTTGTAATGCCAGGCAGCTGTTCGTATGCATGTCCTGCTATGCCACGTGCTGAGGCCACTGCCACAGCCAGTCACTCATTCCCTCTGAGGTTAGAACGTGGTATCCAGCATCTGTCATATGGCTGGGTACCTTTTTCTAAGCAAGAAATTTGCTGCAGTCACGGCTGCACTAGACAGCACAGTGGTGATGCATTGTAAACAGTAGCTCCATGTTGCAATGAGGGCTCTGGAGCTTCTGGTATGATCCAGAGCAAAATATACCAGAACTCTTGGGGGTTATCCACAAGGGCCAAAGAAAACATCCTTGCCTCATTCCCACAACGACAAGTCTGGACAATGCAGGCTCAATCCCTGGGCGGTTCAGCACCAAACCCATTGTATACTCCACTCCATATATATGTGTGTGTGTGTGTGTGTGTGTGTGTGTGTGTGTGTGTGTGGAGTGGAGTATACAATGGGTTTGGTGCTGAACCAAACCCATTTGTTGTGGGAATGGGGCAAGGATGTTTTCTTTGGCCCATGTGGATAACCCCCCAAGAGTTCTGGTGCCACAATAAACTACAAATCCCAGGATTCCATAGGATGAAGCCATGTTAGCTAAAGTGGTGTCAAACGTAATTAATTCTACAGCCAAAGATTCCTGACTGGAGATATTTTTAATTGTTTTAAATCAATGTTATTTTTACACCACCTTCAGCATGGAATATAACATATTATTTTTTTAAAAATCAACAAAATAAAAAAATAGAGCATGATATAAATATGTTTCTAAATAAAGATAAACTTGGATCATGTTGGCATTTTCAAGAATATATTGGGAATGGAACATGGAATCTATATAACACAAATCATTTTGTGTCTCACTGAGTTAAGTCTCAACCAATTTAAAGTTTGTAGATTATACCTTTCTTCAGTAAATTGTACTTTCTGATATGAGATGGATTTGCAAACTATATGATTTATAATTTACTATATAATTTACATTTTCCCCCAAACTACTGAGGATCTCTGAATTACTGTTTTTTTTGGGGGGGGTTGCAAAGTTTTATCTCCTAGGACAATACAGTTTTTGAAGGAAGCACATTCAGTGCTATTAAGATTGTCCTGTAGAATGTGCTTTTGCAATCATCATGGGTGTCATCTTGATCTGACATGAAATGTCCTCCCAAATTCATCACCCCATTTGCTAGTGGCTTACTGTGGCAGTGTCTTCTTATTCCTTTTCTCCATTCTTATTTTTCTTTTTTGTTAACAATTTAAAAAATGTTACCAACTCTGGCATCTCTCTCATTTTAATGTAAAAGTTTAGAAACTGCCACATTTCAGATTTAGTGGCTAGAATGAACTCTGATCTCTTCCATGTCTTCCCATCCCAAGATGCCCTTGGGATGAGAGGACTGTTATATCATTCCGGAGGTGGGAAGGAAAGCTGTGACCTAACATTCTCTCTGATCACTGTCAGTGATGCAAAATTTCAGAGATGAAAAAAAAGCTGCATTTTTATTGTAAACTTTACAAATAACAACATATGGCTGCCACAATAATTTTTTTCTTCCTTTCCCCCAAATGATTCACAAATTTTCAGTCCTTCCACCTATCCCAAAATTGTACTCAACATTTTTGGGGAGAAGAAATCCTTGCTTTAGATCATGAGATTTAGCAGTTTGATGGGGCTTGAGTCTTGCTTATTACTGAATATTTTTCTAATGCAATATTTGAAGAGAGACAGCCCAGCCCTTTGTCTCTTTGTGCTCTTTCTTTATCCTTACAGCCACCTTATTCCTAAATCACCTTTCCAGTGGTTGAGCGTCCTCCTGAATAATGGGGAATTGAGTACAGTGATTACCAGGTTGTGGATTATTTTGGTAGGAGCCATTTGCATCTGACTATTTGGGATGGAAAGAATAGTCATTATTATTCATTCCAGAATTTTAAAAAAATTGGTTCCCAAAAGTTCAGAAGCCCTGTTGGAAAAATAATAGACCCTCAAGACTGTTGCACAGATTTCCTCCCATATTAAAGTGTCCTGAAGTGCTGTGGCGGAATAATTTTGCATAGG